TTTGAAACTTTTAAAGGGTACCATCATCCTACCGTTTTGAACTTAAAGATTTTCTAATTTAATTTAGTTATGAATTTTGAGATCGCTAATTCATAAATTATTTTTTTAATAAATTTTAAGTGAAGCTCCCCTCAACAAAAATCTTAGATCTGTCATGGTTGGACAAATGAATCAAAGCCTATAAATAGAGAGACTCACCCCACTTTTGAAGTACACGTGATAATGTTCCTCTCTCTTGAGTAATAGGTTATGTTGGAACTTCCAGCACTTTAGATATTAATACTATAAAATAAAAAAAGAGAATCGCATAATAGGTTAGATTTCTTAAATAATATATAAAGAATTATACAAAGTTGAGAATTGAAAACAAGTAAATTGAAACTTAAAAAATCTAAATAATACTATGTTTCTTATCGTATGTATGTAAAGGAGTCATTGCTTTGTATAAAAGGGACTTGAACCGAAGACTTCAAGAATAGACTCTAAACCACCTAAGCTATCTTTTGGGATTGGTTCACCTACTATGTTATTTTTGAACTATAATTTTGATATATTTGTAATAATTTTTTTAGCTGATATTTTTGTAATAACTTTATTAAAGTTATGCTAAATTTGTCCACTAGAATTTTATTAAAAATATTATATTATAGATGTTGATGCGGATTATTGAGCAGCTGCTGCATAGGCACTACATAAATACAACGTACTTTGAGTGTAACGATCCATGTACAGAAAAATCTAGTACCAGTATAATTTTATGCCGAATTCTCTCTCTGATGACTAAGTTAGTCAGACCTACGAATATGGAGCAGTAAAGTTTTGGCAAAAGATTGGAACCACCAACATTCTTCACCTTCTAATCGCACGACGACCATGAGGAACAATATTTTGATCACACATGGTCATAAAGCATTGTGGGATGCCAGCAGTTGGCTCGTTGTAGCAGGCATATCTACGAAGGGACTAGGGAGGCACGTGCCCCTTGGATTTTAGTTAAAATTGTATAGCATGTAATTTGAATTAGAAAAGCGTGTGTGTTCTCTTGGCTTTCCACCCGTGCCACTTCCCTTCCATCCCTAGCTT